TCAAACTAGTGTGTTTAAACTAGTTTTAAATTAGTTTGTTTTTGTAGTTTGGGCCAAAACAAATGTTTATTGCATTTTAATATTTTAAGTTTATTTGATTGCCTATATAAAAATCAGTGGATATTATCAATGCATTTATTGGATAAAATAAAATTGCTATCCCCATCCCCAGAAGTGATTAAGGCTACACAGTCATAGCGATACATGCAAAGCTATTTATATGTATGTGGAACAAGTGAAGCACTATGAATATATATTAAAATAAAATATCAGATCTCTGTGTGGTGCACTGGCTGTTGTCAGACTCCTTGTGGAAACAAAAATCTTTCAGAAAAATTACAATTAATAGCAAAATGGATTTGAAAACATAGACATACTATTGAAAATTCATACATAGTTCATAAGAGTTGTACTTCTGTGGTTATTTTGGTTAAAGTAACCTAAAAGTGATAAAAAAGTAATGTAATGCATTTTTTGTTTCAATATTTTTTATTGAGTTTCAGTTTTTCAAATATGAAAGAACAACAATACAAACCCCAAACCCATACCAATCCAACAGCGGGATAGCGCTCACATTAGCCATAAATTAGCAAATATACAATTGTACATGTAGGTTTAAATACAAATACAAAGAAATAATAATTATTATAACCATAATTACAATAAATAAATAAATACATAAAAACATACAAGAAAAATTAATAAAAACATAATAAAAAATAAATAAATAAATAAATAAAAGGGGGAAAAAGCATTTATTCAGCTAACATATAACCATACACACCATATGTATAGAAAAATCAAATTATTTGAGATTTCCACAAAATCAATAAAAGGTTGCCACACCTTAAAAAATTTTCCCTCCGACCCTCTTAATGAAAACCTGATTTTTTCTAAATGAAGACAAGACATCATTTCTCTAACCCACTGAGTGGGAGGATGAGAATCCTTCCATTTTAGCAAAATAGCCCTACGTGCTAATAAAGTCGAAAATGAAAGGATTTTACATTTTGAAGAAGGCAACTGTATATCCTCTGAAGTAACCCCAAATAGTGCCACCTGTGGAACTGGATCTAGCTTGTGCTGAAGAATCACAGATAACGTGTCAAATATTAACTTCCAGAAATGCTTTAAGTTGGGGCAAGTCCAGAACATATGAAATAAAGTGCCTTCAGCACAATTACATCTATTGCACAAAGGACTGGTACCTGGAAACATTTGGGCTAATTTAGTCTTAGAGATATAAGCTCTGTGCACTACTTTAAATTGAATAAGGGAGTGCCGGGCACACATTGATGATGAGTGAATTCTTTTAAGAATATCGTTCCATAGATCATTCGAAATCGAACCACAAAGATCCTCTTCCCAAGCACTCTTAATGTTATCTGTTAGGGTAGATGACTGGTTCAGAAGTAGATTATACAACATAGAAATTGAGCCTTTAGCTAGTATATTACAAGAAAGAAAATAATCTAAATGGTTTCCAGAGGGCAAAACAGGAAATTCCGGTATGAGGGATCTAATATAATCTCTTATTTGTAGGACTCTGAAAAAATCAGACTTAATCAGCGCGTAATTTGATATCAACTGATCAAAAGATGCAAACACTTAGTCTATGAATAGGTCTTTAAAGCATACTATTCCCTTATCGAACCAACCTCTGAAAGAATTGTCTTACATTGAATGGGAAAAAAAAATGATTTCGAGCTATAGGGCTGAGAAGAGAAAAGCTATCAAAACCAAATGACCTCCTAAACTGAATCCAGATCCTCAGTGAATGTTTCACCACTGGGCAGTCTGTAAAATTGTAAGAAATCAATTGCCGCTTGGCCGCAAGTAGAGCCGGAAGAGAAATTTGATTATGAGCATGCATCTCCATATCTACCCAGGATGGTTTATTAGGCTGCAAATGATATTGCCACCAATACAGTGTATTACGCATATTCGCTGCCCAATAATAAAACTTAAAGTTGGGCAAAGACATCCCACCCTCACACCTGGCCTTTTGAAGGTGTGCTTTCTTCAACCTAGGATGTTTGCCATTCCAAATGAAATTAGAGATGACTGAATCTAAAGATTTAAAAAAAGATAAGGGAATAAAAAGAGGGAGACTTTGAAAAAGATACAGAAATTTCGGAAGGACCGTCATCTTAATAGAATTAATGCGCCCTATAAGTGATAACTTTAAAGGCGACCACTTAGAGAGATCTTTCTTAGTTCGTTCCAAGAGCATACTAAAATTATGTTTAAACAGCTGTTTATACTGGCGGGTAATACAAACACCAAGATAAGTAAATTTATTTTTAATTATCTTCAGAGGTATATTAGAGTACTGCAACTGCTTATCTACCATGTTTATTGGGAAAAGTTCACTCTTTTGTAAATTAAGCTTATAGCCTGAGAGCCTACCAAAGTTCTCTAGCAAAGTTAGAGCCGGGGGCAGGGAAATCTGTGGATTAAATATGTAAAGCAGTAAATCGTCTGCATATAATGTTACCTTGTGCATGGTATCCCTTCGTGTAATCCCGGCAATTTGCTGACATTCACGTAGAGCGATTGCCAGTGGCTCGATGGCAAGAGCAAATAATAATGGACTTAATGGACAACCCTGCCTGGTTCCACGCTGCAGATTAAATGAACGGGACTGCAACCCATTAGTTAAGACTACAGCAGAAGGTGTGTTATATAGTAATTTAATCCATGAGAGAAAGTTAGGGCCAAATCCAAATTTTTCTAAAGCTAGAAAAAGGTAATCCCTCTCTACTCTATCGAATGCTTTCTCAGCATCTAGAGAAACTACACATTCTGGAATAGAGTGGTGCTGAGAGTAAATTATATTAAGCAAGCGGCGAATATTAAAAAATGAATGGCGGTTTTTAATAAAGCCTGTCTGATCAGGAGAGATTATGCTAGGGAGGACATTCTCCAACCTTGAGGCAATCACTTTTGCTAGAATTTTAACGTCGCAATTAAGTAAAGATATGGGTCTATAAGACGCACAATCCAAAGGGTCCTTATCCTTTTTAAGCAAAAAGAAAATACATGCCTGACTTAAAGTAGGAGGGAGAGCCCCTGACTTGAAGGAGTCAGAAAAGACAACTGTTAAAAAAGGAGTGAGCTGCTTAGAAATTTTTTTGTAGAACTCTGACGGAAAACCATCAGGACCTGGTGATTTTCCAGATTGCATGACAGAAATAGCAGCTATCAACTCCTCCTGTGAAACAGGTTCCTCCAAAGATTTGCTAATGTCAGGGGGTTAGGTGGGAACCTGTATTTGATCAAAAAAGTTTGTAATATCTTCTCGTTAAGGGGATTCAGTAGTATATAAAGTAGAATAAAAGTCCCTAAATTTATCGTTAATGATGTTTTGGTGAGTTGTAATCTCACCATTATTTAGACGGATACCACTAATAATTTGCTTTGCCTTGAACCCACGCAGTTGGTTGGCTAATAACTTTCCAGATTTTTCCCCGCTCTCATAAAACACACTTCTAGTTCTTCTCAAAAGGGACTCTATCTCACCAGTTGACAGTAAATCCAACTCTGCCTTCAGTTTACAGCGTCTCTCATATACATTCGAGGTAGGTGAACTTGCGTATTGTGTATCTAATCGAAAAATTTCATCAGCTAAGGATATTTGTTTTTCTTTCAACTTTCTCTTCTTGGTGGCATTATATGAAATGATTTGGCCTCTGATATATGCTTTAAGAGCATCCAAAACTATTATATTAGAAACATCTGGGGAAATATTAACACTCAAAAAGAAGGAGATTTGGTCAGAAATAAATCCAACAAAATCATCATCTGCTAAAAGTGAGGTATTAAGCCACCAGCTCCTCCTTAGAGAGGGCAAGTTTGAAAACTTTAAATCAAGAACAAGGGGGGCGTGATCTGAAATAATAATACTTTGGTATGCACAGCAACAAACATCAGAGATCAGAGCATTGTCCAAAACAAAATAGTCAATTCGAGAATAAGAATGATGAACTTTTGAAAAAAAGGAGTATTCTCTTTTTTGTGGGTTTAGAAAACGCCAAATATCGGAGAGGCCATTATCAGAAAAAAAATTGTTCAAGTATTTAGAAGATCTACTGGGAGCACCTAATTTAGAAGAAGAGCGGTCTAAGCTTGCGTCCAAACAGCAATTAAAATCACCCCCAAGAATAAGAGAATGAGAATTAAGATCTGGAAGGAGTGAAAGGGCATGTTTAAAAAAAGTGATATCATCAAAATTTGGGGCATAAAAATTTGCTAGAATTAAATTCTTTTTACATAAAGTGCCTGTAACAATAATGTAACGTCCGTTTTTATCTGCTATTATGTTGTTTGGGGTAAAAGGCACGTTCTTGTCAATCAAAATTGCCACACCTCTCGCCTTAGCTTGAAATGATGAATGAAAAAACTGCCCATTCCATTTCTGATTAAGATAAGGATGATTCCTATTATGCAAATGAGTCTCTTGCAGAAAAGCAATCTCTGCTTTGTGCAATCGGAGATGTGCAAGAACTTTATTTCTTTTCACTATGTTATTTAGGCCCTTGACATTCCAGCTTATTAATCTCAACTCCCTACCCATAGTTACCAAAAAAGCGGGCTGTAAATGAATTGTGGAAATAAAGAAAATAAAAATAAAAGAAGGAAAAATAAATAACTAAATTAAAACTGAAGACCCACATATAAACACTTAGTATAGAAAAGGCTACATATAAAAATATGAAATTATCATGGCACCGTCCCGTAACGAACTCCAACCCTCCCACTAGATCAAGCCAACCCCATAGACACGTTGTTATTAACATAATACAACGTTCAAAAATCCCCCATGCAATTTACACTCTTCCTTTACCTCTCCTTACCTTATATAAACTCAACCCTGTGTTTCAGAAAATCCTCCTTAAAGAACATGACATCTTTTATTATTAGAACAGTGGCATAACTTTTCCACCTTATAAAAACGCAATCAGGTAAAACTATTTAAAAGTGTATAACGGTAATGTCCTCTATGAAGCATTACGGTGAGATCCTAGAAAGTTCTTGGCCTCTTCAACCGAGGGGAGCCACTTTTGTTCATCGGCTTTTGTCGTAATTCTCAGTCTCGCCGGGAAGAGGAGGGATGGTTTGAAACCCAGATTGTAAAGTTCTGTCATAACTCCGCGATATTGTGCGCGTTGCTCCACAACCTCAGGGCTGTAGTCATCGTAGATAGCGATCGGTTTGTCATGATATTGTAGAGAGCCCCTTCGTTTCCGAGCCTCTCGCATCACAGCCTCTTTAATCTGATAGCGGTGAAGCCGAACTATCACAGCCCTTGGTTTTCCTCCTTGCTTCGGTTTGGCCACAAGAGCGCGATGCGCCCTGTCGATCTCCGGTGGGGATGATAGGATTTGTTCGCCCATAACATCCACCAGAAACTGCGAGAAAAACACAGATGGTCGAGGGCCCTCGACGGATTCTGGCACTCCGATAATTCTGATATTATTGCGCCGACTTCGACCCTCCAAGTCTGCCGTTTTAGCTTTTAGTTTAGCATAGCTCTCCGTTAGTTCAGAACAGGTCGCTTCTAGCGAGAGAATTCGCTCACTGAGAAGGTCGGCATTCGATTCTAGCGAAGTTATTTGCGTACCTTGATCCAGCACCGCTGTTTGAACTGAGTCCAGTTTCGCTTCCAAAGATATCAAGGCGGCTTTAAACTCAGTAGACCTCTCTATGTTCTTCCAGAAGGCTAGTTAAGGCCGCCATGTTAAACTCCGGGTGCGCTGCGGTACCATCGTCTTTAGGAGGGTCTTTTTTCCCATATTTGCCAGACTTTGATGCCAATTTTAGACTTTTTAAGCATTAAACATGTTCACAGTCAAGCACTAAGTGGTAAACAAATAAATAAAGTGGTGGAGGATTAAAGAATTGAAGAAAAAAAAGAAGTCCACAGGGACCTCGAGACAAGCGCGACTACTCCATTCACGCCCGCAACCGGAAGTCATGTAATGCATTTTTGAGATATTAATATAGTAATGTAACCAATTCCAAAAAAAAAAAGACAGTAACTTTTAATATATAATACATTTTTTCCAGTAGCTTGCCCAACTGTGTTCGTAACATTGCTAATGTTCATTAGCACAAAGATAAGATATTAACGGGGATGCGGAGCAAAATTGTTTATGCACAATGGGCTCTATGCACAGCTAGAGTTTTAAAGCCAACGATAAACCTCCGGTGATAGCTTAATGTGAGTATTTTAAATTTCACAAGGTTGTTTTAACAGCATCAATGTTGTAATGTAATTACAATGCATTCAGTTAAATAGACTTAAGCATTCATTTAGTTGTTCAAGCGTAAAATTTGATGAATGATGGTGTAACCACTACTATCAGTAGTATCTTGCCTCACAGCAAGAAGGTCGCTCGTTCGAGTCTCAGCTGGGTCAGTTTGTGTTTCTGTGTTTGTGTTTCTGAGTTTGCATGTTCTCCCCGTGTTCGCGTGGGTTTTCTCCGGGTGCTCCGGTTTCCCCCACAGTCCAAAGACATGCGGTACAGGTGAATTGGGTAGGCTAAAAATTGTCCGTAGTGTATGAGTGTGAATGAATGGTATGGGTTTCCAAGTGATGGGTTACAGCTAGAAGGGCATCCGCTGCCTAAAAAACACATGCTGGATAAGTTGGCGGTTCATTCCACTGTGACGACCCCAGTTTAATAAAGGGACTAAGCTGAAAAGAAAATTAATAAATGAATGTATAACAATAATTAATATTTTTACAGTAGTGTGATGGTTGGGTTTAGGGTTAGGGTGGGGGTGGGCTTTAAAAAATACAATTTATTGGGTAATTTAATAGAAAGCATAAATAATACTCAATACAACTACTGTTTTTACGTTACTGTGACAGTTGATTTAGGGTTGGGGTGGGAGTAGACGTTAATAAAACACAACAAATGTGAAATTTAATAAATAATATAAATAATTATTTTTAACTTTCGGACGCAACTGTATCAGATCTAGCAACAACCAAAATACCGGGGTAAAACAAACTGTCATATTTTAAAGACACGGCCGGGGGCAAATGGACTTTAATGCAGTGCTTCTTATCTGATCTGAAACCCACTTCATATCGTATATCTAACAGGCAGTGAAGATCACTGATTTTTAAAGAAATTAGATCTTAAACATGACAATTTAGAAATGGAAAGACGTCATCAGAAGCCTTTGGGGTGCCTGGCTGAAAGTTAAATGTCTTTGTGCATATAGCCCATTTAGCTAACACGCAGATGTTGCATTAGAATTTGTATAAATTGTTAAATAGGATAATCTGTAAAATATTTTAAACAATTATATAGTTTTGTGTTATTGGTCTTTAATTTTTAAAGTTACTTATACAAATAAAAATAACTAATTGGAGATTTAAATCATCTTGTCCTTTTTGAGAAAGAATTACTCTTTACTTTTTACTCATGAGTACATTTTTAATGTGTTACTTTTAACTTTTTTTGAGTTTTTTTGAGTAGATTTATAGACATGTAACTTTACTTTTACTTTAGTAAAAAAAATTTAAGTAATAGTACTTTTACTTGAGAAGATTTATGACATCTAATGACATGCTAATTCAACTTGAAACATGCGAATGACATGTTAATTCATACTAGAATCATGCTAATAACATATCAATCATAATAGAATCATGTTAATAACATGCTAATCCATGCTAGAATCATGCTAATAAAATGTTAATCCATACTAGAATCATGCTAATAACACGCTAATCCATACTAGAACCATACTAATAACATGCTAATTCACAATGGAATTATGCTAACAACATCCTAATCCTCGCTAGAATCATGCTAATAACATGCTAATCCATCCTAGATTCATGATAACAAGCTAATTCATACTAGAATCAAGCTAAAAACATGCTAACTTACACTAGAATCCTGCTAACATGCTAATCCATGCAAGAATCCTGCTAATAACATGCTAATCCATACTAGAATCATAATAGTATGCTCATCCATGCTTGAATCATGTTAAAAACATGCTAATTTACACTGGAATCATGCTGACAACATGATAATCCTCGCTAGAACCATGTTAATAACATGCTAATTTGTGCTAGAATCATGCTAAAAACATGGTAATCCATGCTAGAATCATGCTTATAACATGCTAATCCATGCTAGAATCATGCTAATTTGTACTAGAATCATGCTAATAGCATGCTAGACTATGCTTGAATCATGCTAATAACACACTAATTCGTTCAAGATGCTGACAACCAGTGTTGTGCAAGTTACTTCCAAACTGTAATTCATTATGGATTATTCAAAATATTATTAATTCATTATGTAATATGTTACATGAGTCTTATATTAGGCTACTTTATAGTTACTTTTACCAAAATATCTTCATAATAAGAACTTAACATTCTAAAATGACTACTGCAGAGCATTTTACATCCAGTAGAAAGCGATATGATGTAGCAGAATGACTGTGACCAATGCAAGCTACTACAATATAGTATAGGCTATAATTGGCAATGTGAAGGCTCAAGACAATGCAAGAAAGGATGACAGTCAGAATCACCAATGATCTAAGTCTGTTAAGAGTATGGGTGAGGTAAAGTGATTATCTGGCAATATCTCTGAATAGCTTGACTATATTCATATTAGACACAACATGCCATGACACAATGCAGTTTTTTATATCCAGATACATCAGAATAAGTAGCTACTAGCTAACAATGTTTATAAATTACACTATACTTTACTACTCCTGTCTTATCTGCCTCGGAGCTAACTTAAACTGTCTGCATCACTGCTCTCTTCACTGCAAATGTCCAATCTGCATCATTCTCATGGTCACTAAAACCCAACTCACTTTCATCTGCTTGAAGAGCCAGTTCTGTCCTTTTCTTCTTTTACTTATCATAACGTGGTGATGCTCGCTAATACACTGTTCCCTGTATTCATATGTATTTAGAGTAGTATTGCCAGTAAAACTAGATTTTATCCATAATGCAAATGTCATTAACACATGACTAATCATGTTGTTATTGTTGCAACTTAAAAGTTTACAACTGACCTTGCTTGTTAGCTTACCCATTGCATTATTGCACGTCCCACTATTGTATAGTGTTGCCATTTGGAAACACATACATTTGATCGATGTACAAAAAAACTAATTTGATAAAAAAAAAAAGAGTTTTGAAAATGTCATCATAACTTATTGGAGGTGATGTTTCAGATTTTTTTGTGGATCTGACATGAGTTGATCCTTTGCTTTTATTGACGTTTACATTTGCATTCAGCAACTGTAGAAAAGGCTCCAAGGAAAGCAAGGCTGCGTCCGAAACCGCCTACTACTCAGTAGGTACTGCATTTGAATTTAAACGTACTACTTGCCCGTTAGCAAAGTACGTTCTATACAGTATGAATGTGAAAAGTATGAATGGAATTCGGACGTACTACATCCGCCATTTTGGCATAGTCACGTGACATAACTGCGTCATTTGCGTTGCTTTACTCCCATTTATGAATTCGCTCGAGGGGAATCATGGAATAGCGCAGTTAGCATGGGATGCGCACTCCAGAATCCCGCCGGAAGTAGTAAGTTCAATTCAATTCAATTCAGCTTTATTTGTATAGCGCTTTTACAATGTAGATTGTGTCAAAGCAGCTTCACATAAATGGTCATAGTAACTGGAACAGTGTGGTTCAGGTTTTAGTGTTTAAGTTCAGTTCAGTTCAGTTTAGCTCAGTTCAGTGTGATTTAATCATTACTGAGAGTTCAAACACTGAAGAGCAAATTCATCGATGCGCAGCTCTACCAATCCTGAACCATGCGAGGCAGTAAGTCATCCGGGTACTTCTCACATACTGTTTTACTACTCACATACTACTCGGCTCGCATACTGATTTTAGCCTACTACTATATAGTATGGAAGTATGCGGTTTTGGACGCAGTTTTATTAACAGACTTGTATTCTGAAAACTTAAGAGTGCATTTCCCGATGCTTCCAGTAGTAGGCATTATAGTTTTACTTTTCTGCTGCTTTCATTATTGAGTCAGAGATCGACGGCTGTGCAGCTTAAGTTTCATCCTGTTACTCCTGAAGTTCGTTTGCTGTTTTAAGTTTTCCAAGTGTTTTAAGTGCATGACCATAAAGTAAGTTTTCTCTTTATTTCTGTATGTTTTAACCATGTTGAAGTGTATTAGTATACGTTTACATCTGTATCATGCCCAGACATGCAATGCCTAATGCTTTATGTCCGATCGTGTGATCATTAAGCTAAATAGAGAGAGTTAGATGCTTCATCAGCCACTATAAATGTTAGAAATCTTTTATACTGCAGTATTAATCAATATTATTGCATTTGTGGTGATGTTTGGCAAATTATTTGATTATTAACGGTTTCTGCTGATGAAACTGCAAACTATCTTCAGTAAACTTTATTTTAGTTGAATCTCGTTCGTCCCGCGACAGTCTTACATTTGTTTATTGTGTCTTGGGTTTTAAAACTCGAGAAGATTAACTCTGAGTCATTCTCAGCCCTGTGTAAATCTAGTTTTTTCTTTCACGCTGCTTATAATTTACTAGGTAATCCAGAATTAAAAACAGTGTGGAAAAAATTCTCATTTTAAAAAATTCAAGTAATAAAACTGAGTGTTGAGGGAAAACCGATCAAAAGTTAACCCCCTAGGGTCGAAGACCGCGTATTTTCTCTCTCCGTGAACTGTTTTTAGAAACGCGTCAGTAAAATGCGCTAAAACTCCGCGAAAACAAAACACCCAGAGATGTGACACATATTTTTATAAAGCTTGAAGTGTCTACTTTTAAATGCAGCTATGCATGTTGAAAACAAATGTTGTTTGATAAAGAAATCAGTATGAAACCAATGCTATGTCTAGTTTCTCAGTCTGAGCTCATTAGAGTTAATTTGACCACGCCCACGAGGCTTTGATATTACAAATAGCCTGCATGAGAAGCGCGCAAAAGTAGACTGTGTCAGGAAAAACACGTCATTAAAATGAACTGAAACTCAGCAAATACTCAAAAAAGAAACATGGGAGATGTTTCTAAAGAAATCTTGATATGTCTACTTTTGCAAAATCTCCTTTCATGTAATCCGTATAAAAGTAAGAACTGGTACGGATTCTCCTTTCGCCTCATTACAGCGAACGTGATCCCGCCTTCAGTGAAGGCGCAGTTCATATGGAAATGAACAAAAGGGAGCCAGTCAGGTGATAATGTACACGCTCCCCGAGACATGGCATCAAACGACAAGCTTTATTATAGTTACTTACTTTTGTTTAAATGATGGCACGTTACATGGGTGAAGAAGCACAGTACTAAACAGCGAAAAAGAATCATTACTCTGACTTTCAGCATGAGCCCTCCAAGTTTAGCGTGTTTCCTCATTAAACGCAACGAAAGTGAGTTGCGCGCGACATAGGCTACCTGAAGAGCTAGGACGGATGCAGGGGAGAGGGGTGTGCAATGTATTTAACGACCGGTTTGCGAGAAATTATCATTCATTTGCGGGCATTTGGGGGTCTCTGTGCACTTGCGGGATAATCCTAATCTTAGCAACTGGATAAATGTAAAGGTGGATTAAGCAAAATTGTTTCTACTCTATAACTAATCAACTCACAGCAATAAAACTTTACAATGAGTGCAACAGTTTGTATTCTATAGTTTATTATTATAATTTTTCATTTTCCATATCTGCAATTCCTGTATTTTGGCATTTTTTTGCAGTCCACTTAGAATCCAACATGGAAAATCAATGTTTTCTTTATTGGCATTGATTGTTTTGAAATTTAAATGTCATTAACATGCCTGTATTTCTTTAATAAATATGGCTGTCAAGCCAGGATCTTGATGGTTTATTGTGGGTATGTTGTTTACATGAAGAAATCTGTGTTACAAGTTAAACAAAAATTCTATTAAACAATTATATTTTGAATTTTAATTTTAATAAACAATTATATTTTGAATTTAAATAGTTTTTGTCTTGCGTTTACATGAATTTTACATTTGAATAGCCAAAATTACAAGTTTCAGTGTTTTAAATGCGATTAATCGACAGCACTAATATATATATATATGTATATGCATATATATATATATATATATATATATATATATATATATATATATATATATATATATATATATATGTAATATGTATTATTATTAGATGTGTATATTATAAAAACAAATACTTGTTTACAATACAGGTGCTGTTCTATTTAAAAGTCCTATGTGGTGACTAAGTTTATTAGGTTAACTAGTATCGAGTTACTTTGTGTAATAGTTAAATATATGTTAAATTAACTGCAAACAAAAAAATATATATAAACATTTTTTTCTCAGTTTCTTTCTTGAAACTCTTAGTCACATACCTGTCTGATGGCTCATTATGCAGCTCATTATGCAGGTCTTTGTCTTCTCAGGTGTGACTCACTGCATAGAAATGATAGTTCACGCCTTCTCGCATAAACCATTTTCACACAGAAAGTGACTTAGAAATTTTAAGTAATTATATTGTTTTCTGTGAGCAAGTAAACAAGATGATTCTCACATCATTTTGAAGCAAAACACTAGGCTACAAGATCTAATTCTCAAAAGTCTTGTGCACAAATGTTCTCTGTGTGTTTCACGGCCTTGTTTCAGTGGCTTCAAAATGTTGTTTTTTCACCTACCACGCATAAACATTTCTTTCTCAAAAACACAAACACATACAAACATGCTGCTTATGCCTAGTTCAGACTGCGTGATTTTAGCCCCGATTTTGGCTCGCCGACAGGTTTTGAAAAATCGCCGACAAATGCCTGAAATCACAGGTAAATCGCTGCTCTTGCACGTGAGTGACAATCACAGAGTATGAACGATCAAAGACGCGATCTGAGAGAATCGCCGATGAGTCGCCGATGCCTGTGAGATATTTGGCATGCTAAATATCTGGAGCTGTCGGCGATGCAAATCATGCCGTGTGAATTGAGTTTTGACTGAAAATAACATCAACGATCGCCTACAGCCAATGAGAGAGCAGCTTTCACTTGTGTGTGCTTGTGTGTATACCTGCTGCAGGGGGAGAAGTTAAAAGCACTCATTTTCGGTTTATTTGGACCCACGAAATGGAGGAAAAACTAGTGGAGGTTTGACAGGACTCAGGAGCAACCGTGTCTGTTTGACATTTCATACAGAAAGAAATTAGTTTTTATCAACGTTGAGGAGAAATGGCTAATTCCCTTTAAACCCAGGTGAGCAAACATGTACATGTTCAACCCCATTAAAGGCTTCTTTCATATTATGTAGTTAATAACAAAAGATAGGCTATACTACATGTTTTTGGCTGTGAGACGTAGTTTGGACGAAGTTGTCGGCGATTCTTGCAGTGTAAACAAAGCAGCGACGAAACGCCAGCCCAGATAGTCAAGCAGTGTGAAAACAGCTGTGACACGACTAGTTGGAAAATCATGCAGTCTGAACTCGGCATTAGGTATTATTGTAGCCCAACTTGTGCTGTTTACAGTGTTATCACCCTTTAGACATTAATATGTTTTTAAGATACTAAAAATAACACAAATGTCAGTGCATGTCAAAACTTGTCCAGAGCCCCAAAACACCCTCAGACCCCAGAGGGTTAAAGGTCATTAGGCCTTATGCGGTTTCAACACTTGTTCTGGAATGAACCAATTTTCTTTGCTTTTCCAGCAGAATGACTAGTGTCTGTCCTCTAGTGGCCTCTGACTGATACTGTCTGAATTTACGTTTTTATTCAATCTTATAAATGTGGAAATGTCAGACCAGTAGATCTTGATTTTATAGTAACTTTTTTCTTTGGTCCCCGAGAAGAAAATGACCCCTAAGAAGAAGAAAAAAATACAGTCTGTACAGTATAAACATAATTACTTTTATATCCTCTTAAAGAGATATGTGCAAGCCATGTTTGTGTGCATGCGTGCGTGCGTGCGTGCGTGCGTGTGTGTGTTTGTGTGTGTGTGAGAGAGATAGAGAGTGTCTGCACAGTCCTCTTACCACTTATTCTACATTGTGCTTTAATTACTAAATTATTATTTATTGTTCAATATTTCCCAAAACTTTGCTCAGTTACAGTCACATCAGTTTATAAGTGTGTGTGAGAGTGTATATGTTTAGCTGTTTTGTTTAGGCGTTCAATTGATGTGTTTAAGTGTTTCATTCACTGCTGTCTGCTTTTTCAGCATCTTGGCTGATTTTATGTATTTTTTATGAAAACAGGACTGGTGCAACAAAGTCTTTTTTTATTCATGTTTTTATTTACAAATGTTTTCATTGTTGGGGCTGTGCCCTCTTCTCCGGATCTTCTGTGTCTTTTCCAGGATCTTTTCTTGAGGCCTGATCTTTTTTTCTGGATCCTCTGTTGTTGCTGTGACCTTTTTTTAGGATTCTTTGTTGCTGCTGTGTCCTTTTTTAAGCTCTCCTGTTGAATCTGTAACTTTTTTTAGCGTCAGGAACTGTGGTGCTCAGTAGTGCAAATAATCTTTCCCGTCCATTTGCACTACATTCCTTATTCCTTATTCCTTGACCTGAAACATACAGACACACACCAAATCAAGGTTATTGATTCAGATTCGTCACAATAAACAAAAACCATAAAATGTACAATAAAAAACATTTTCAAATGAAAGGAGAATCTATTTTCCAAATCATTAGAAGCTGATCTACAGTTCAGTACCTTAAACCATTGATGGAAAATGATTTCTTCCAGAGGAATCCGCTGGCTTGGGTTTTCCTGCAGGAGAGCTTGAATCAAATCACAGCATTCTGTGCAGAACGATGGTGGGAAGAAGTGAGAGAAACACATTATCAACTTCAACTTTACATCTGCTGTCATTTTATTCATCTATAAGATCTGACTCTACTCTACTTTAGAATCAGAACATTGTCACCATTATCCAATATCCAACTCTTAGTTTTAATCCATCATTTTGTGTGATTTAAACTACAACTGCTCGTCTATGATGTGATGAATGACGTCTTACCTTCTGACAATCCAGGCTCAGTCCAGTTTCCATCATCGATCCTCTGCGTGTCCGTGACTTCAGGAAATCGTTGACACAGCAGCAGGAATAACAGAACTCCTAAAGACCATACAGTGGATGGTTCTGCATGGTATTCGTCGTCTAGGTAGTACTCCGGTGGGAAGTACTCCTTTGTGCCTGAAGGAACAAGATTTGGTCTCAGCATGAAACACTAAAGCATGTTTTCTCTGTAACATGAAAATACATGATTGGTCAAATTGATAGTCCAGACTACAGGTGTTAAGTTTAATACATACCACAGAAACTGTCATAGCCAGATTCCTGGAGAAGAGCTCCACAGCCAAAGTCAATTAGCTTGACCTCCAGCGTGTCCGTGTTGACCAGCAGGTTCTCCAGCTTTATGTCCCGGTGAAATACCCCACGTCTGCAGCACATGAGACCGGCCGTTGTTGCCTGCTCCATGATCTTTTGAGCCTGGCGTTCAGTGATGGAGCCGAGAGACATTATGAAGTCCAACAGATCTACACAGGGTGAAGGTCGTTCCAGGATCATGATGTAACAATCCTGCTGGTCCTGCCAGTCCAGCAGCTCAATGATCTCTGGAACCTTGCCGCCTCTATGAGCCAGTATCAACAGGCCGATCTCTAAAGGAAGGGGCTCAGGATGACCAGCCTAGAAGAAAGATTAGTTTGGCGGTGTTGCTTCCCCAAATATACTGTTGTCAGTGCCTTTACATGTTTAAGTCTACTTACGATGTTGATGTATTTCATGTTCGATGGCTTTCTGGCAATTTTTACTGCCACCTGTTCAACAAAACAACACTTCTGTTATGATCACATCAAGTGCACTAAAAAGTGAACATAATATATGTTAAAGGGATTGTTCACCTCAAGGCCATCCTCCAAGCGCTTGCCTTCATAGACGCTGCCAAATCCTCCCTCTCCAATCTCCTTGCCGAGCTCATACTGGTCCAGAATGTCACCTGTTAAAAGATGAATAAGTGCAGCTGATGTGAAATGTCAAGCACTGACAGACACGTGTGTAATGTTTGAGGTGGAATAGACATATGCCTATATTCAATAATTCAATACATCGTGAAAATGAACCTGCACAATACTGATATGGTGGTCACTTCAAAATACAGCAAACAGTGATTGAAACTTTTAGAGTGCTTTTTAATGAGAGAAGGCCACACATTCTTAAATGACCACTAGATTTACCTTCAGAACTCTTCTTGTGGATCTGAACAGGAGTCTGGTCCTCCTGACTAGAGCTACTGCTGGACTTCTGGACTTTACAGGAGAGCAGCTTTTCAGGACTGTCAGTCCTTCTCCTCTTTCTCTCACTTTCCTCAGCAACATCAGTGGACTGAAGGCTGGTGATGGATATTGGAGGTGTATGAGGATGGAAATCATTCACATGAGAGCTGTGACAACTTCGTTTTCTCTTTTGGCCACAGAGAAAAGTCATCCACTGGTTGTCATCTGTATTTAGAGATGTAAGACATGCATTAATGATAATGATAATGGCTTATAAAATTGATTTGTATTTTGATGTAAAGTGTAAAGACACACTTCATCTTAGAGATCAGAAACAGTCATGAATTGGGTTTCTTATAGTGAATGCTCATAATTTGCCCTCAACAAATCGGAATCATACACATTTTATGCCCATTATTGAGTCCATTGAATATTGATATTTATACCATTTTTATATTTCAGTGATATTATTAAGAATCTGTAATTATTTAAATGATTTATGTACAATACAGATTGTTGTAAAGATTTCTCTTTTAGTGGATAAATTATGAGAAACTTTGATTACCAAACAATTTGTTCTACTTAAATTTGTGTTATAAACCTAAAAAAAGTTAAATTATTATTATTTTTTATTGTATGTGTTCAGTTTTTAGTTACTTTACTCTCAAAATTATTCCTCATAAATCTGCAGACTTTTTAAACAAAATTCTCAGCAGAACTAGCAAAACATGTCCAAAGAATCTGTCTGGGCCTATATGTACATGTACAGAGATCTAGTGAACACAAAACATGGTCAGATTGACAAACAGTGACTGGATTTACCCTCAGCGTAAAGGGAGAGCGGCTTTTCAAAACTCTCCCACCTCCTCTTCTTTCTCACTTGTATCTCAGTCTCCTCACCAACACCAACGGGTGAATGGTTCTCAGCCACATTGGCGCTGGATGTTGGAGGTGTACGAATATGTAAATCATACACTTGAGTGTCTTGAGAACAACGCTTTCTTTTCAATGCCATAATAACAGAATTCACTGGGAACACTACTATTACCAACTGCAATGAGAAGACGCAATGAGGAGATTCTGAACTCTCTTCTACTTTTAATCCTGCGTTCTTCTGTTTCTATGACAGCGCATTCCGGAACACTTGTTTACATTCAAAATCCCAACACCATATTTGACAAGCTATCTAAACTAGATATATAATAGACAGACAGGCAGATACAAGCTATAATCTTTAATCTTTCACTTCTCAATAATAAGGAACAGTATTTTCACCACAAATATATACATAAATACAAGAAATAAAGTTGTAAATACAACACCAAACTGATTCTGAAACATTATTGTCCAGGAACTAAATAAAACACTGTCATTTTAAGATTAGATAATCTCAAATAATTTTGATTTAATTAAAGAAAATTGTATTAAATGTTGTAATTGCTAACAGAGCAAACTCAAAATAACATTATTAGGCCTACATTTAGTCATGTGACGTATGTGTGAAGTAAAACATAAAACTAAGACTAAAATTATTATATATCCAGTAACGAAATGAAACAAAGTAATTTTAAGCTTAATTTTATACAGTAGATTTTAGCTGAAAATGTGACATTTGCAGTAAAAACTCAAAACATAAATTCACATAGAAAATATTTGTTTAACACTGTATTCAACTGTTTATATTTTTCAGAACAACTGACCACAGAGTTATGGGATCAGAAAAATATAGTTCTATAAACATGTTTTGTACTTTAAATGATAATACTTTGTAGAAATTTTTTAAATTAAACTGCACGACCCAAAAGAATTAAGGATCATCAAAATGATTAGAGTTGGCTCTCTATAAAACAAAAATGATTGATTTTATTTTATGTAATATTTTTGCCTTTATGAGGAAAAAGTGTCGTTATGGATGTGACCGATGTGGAATTGTCACTTGTGTGACTTTGGTAAATCAAATATAATTGTTTGAAAAAGCTGACAGAGACATTTTTGAGCATTTTTAAAGTTCTGTAAAATACTTGCTTAGACAAAAAAAAAAAAAACGGGTTCCATTTTTTTGGTGAAAACTTAAATTTTTTTATGGCAAGGTTGACAATTGCATTAATTATTCTTATATGTCATATGTATAAACAATAATACTATATTTAGTGTCATCTTTGTTGGAGAGAAGAATTCATATCAATCCTGTAACGTGTATCTGTGAAATATATATAGCTTGGCTTGGGCGGTATTACGGTATTATGGTATACCGCGGGATCTAAAAATAGCAACGGTGTCAGTTTCAATACTGTTATACCGTCATAAAATATTAAATATCCTTTATTTAATGCCCACAAAAACGTATGTGTGATTGCCATCACAGGACAGTGTGGAGGAGAGAGAGGGAGAGGGAGGGAAGGGAGAGGGAGAGGGAGGGAGGGGGAGAGGTGAGGTGACGAGTCGCGCTCCAAAGTGACCTGCAGTTTGGCAGTATTTCCGGTTTCGACTGAACAGAAGGGAGATGTGTGCTGCGTCCCAAATCGCATACTTATGCACTATTCTACGCCATTTTGTAGTATAAATAGTGTAAGTAGTGTGTTCACACTGAAAACTCTAAAAATAATAAGTGCACTTTAATTTCCCGGATGATGCACTCATTCAGTCGCTAAAATGAAGTGTGGAATGATGGACACTTCACGCACTCAACGACCGCAGGTTTGCTTACGTAGCGGAAGAGGCGGAGCTATCGGACGCACATGTTGAATAACTTTATTTATTTTGGATGGTGAGAACAAAATTCTTCTACGAGAGTGATTATAGTGCCTCCCGATGGTGAATGCGGCAACACTTACGGCAGGTAATATTTGATAATTCGGTCGTTTATTTCACTGATTTGGCAAATGTCAAACGTCATCAGGGAAACGGTTTGAATTTCCGCTTAGTAAAAAAACATTAGTGTGCCATTTGGGACGCCACTACATACATGTACTATCCTGTTGAGTGTGTAAGTGCATAAGTACATAGTGCATGAGTGCATAGTGTATAGTGTGCCATTTGGGACGCAGCTGTGGTAAATATAAACTAGAGGTCTGCATTAGAGCTGAAGATCTTTGCCCAAGCCCGGAGGGACCAGAAAAAATCCAAATCACTGCATTAAAATCCATCCCTGCAAAGGTGAAGCAAATGATGACGGAGAATTAAAAAAAAAGCTAATTTTGACGGCGGTCAAGTCAGTCACTAGCTCAGAAGGAACGGTTATTCAAGTCGCCAAGGTATTTCGGCGGTCGCTTATACACTGCGTATTACGGTAGAGCGCAAACCGCAAGCGGACAGGGTCAAAGATGGGGTGACTTGCTACATTAAAACTACTGTTATGGCAAATAAAATGGATGTTCCCGGCTGGTAGAAGATGAACAAATAATCCTACCCAAAACTTGCAAAATTAGCCAGATCAGAACTCTGCATCTCGGCCTGTAGCAGCAGGAAAGGGTGTTCAGTTCTGCTGGAAGCCTGTGGATTTAATAATGTTCCTCCACAAAAAAAAAAAAAAAAAAAAAAAAAAAAAAAAACATGTAGCCTAATCTTGGTGAGTAAAGGGTTTTTAAATTATAAATGAATATTAATTATACCATATAATCATAATGTAGACAGAGTATACAGGCTTGGCAAAAATTTTTTTTAATTCAGCTTTACCTTAATGCCAGATTGTGAAGAAAAGTGGCGAAACAAATCTTGCACAGCCTTTATCTTAATTTCGTTATTGCCAAAATGCCCGTCATCATTAAGGGTTTATTTTAATTTGATTTGTTAGGCAAGATTTATTTTCATTGGTGTGTTAGCCAATTTAATGGCTAAGGGTATGTATACCTAAGTTAGACCTATTTAGAGTGTTGCGATGTTACGATGTTACAGAGGACTTATTTTATTTTTTTGTTCCAACTTCCACGTGGCATATATAGTCTACATTTGTTACAAATAAATTATGTTAAAACATATAAATGACCCATTCTTGAAAAAAGGCAATAGAGCTGTGCGCATGAGCACATTTGTATAATGTCGGGCTGTAAACGGGTTCGGGCTTTATAAAGCTGTTCATCAAAATGTACCTGTCGGACTCAGGCTTCATCGTGCCTAATTTTTATGGCCCGATTACAGCTCGCTGCATTCCCGCTGCTGTAAATCATTATTGAAATGATTTTCTGAATAAATACTTATTATTATTATTATTATTGAACTGAATTGAATTGAGAGAGAAAGAGAAAGAGAGAGAGAGAGAGAGAGAGAGAGAGAGCGAGAGCAATGCTGTGCATCGCTTGGCGCGCTCTCTCTCTCTTTGTGTGTGTGTGTGTGTGTGTGTGTCTGCATGCGAATGAGAGGAGTGTCCCGCGCAAGAATACAAACAAGACAAACAGGTGACCGCGAACAAGGTCGCATATAAGGTATTCAGTTTCTGAATGGTTTAGGCACAAGCTAACAGTTTGGTGACGCTGTCTGAGCCTTACGTCATAATTTTTTTTTATTACGCCGGTAATACCGGATACCGGGGTAAAATATGGAGGCGGTTTGACGGTATCAAAATTTGGATACCGCCCAAGCCATATAGCTATCACTATTTTTTGTTTTTTGTTGGAAACACTCACATCTTATTACAATAACAAGTGTGTTTTTCCTGCAAAGACATGTAGAAGGGAGGTGACCACCTCTATCAAATTTTGAACAACCTCGTCAAATCAGGCAGGCGATCACTACTGACAGACCCTAAGTAATGCTCAAGTGCTGGTCATGTATTTAATTACATTTAATGTTAACAGTTTTAAATAAGATCATGGTTTGATAAGATTCCAACAATAATACAAAATGTGTTTATTTCCAGTAGCAAACATTTCATCATGAC